CCATTAAACACGGTTTCATTATTCCGCGCCGATTGCAAACAAGCAGAACGTTAGTATAAACTCAGAACTCATGCTCAGCAATATTGCTTTGTTTACTAATAACTGGTGAGGATTCATTGTACATGTATCCACAAAAGCGATTGTAACTTCATCAATTGTAGACTTTATTAGAAGGCAATAACGTATAATTCACTCGCTGGTAATTAAGCAGAATTTCATTTCTTATTCGCAGTGTAAATTATTGGAGTAAAAAACCTGTAAAAGTACTCAATACAATTTCATTGAATGAAATACACAGCATGTCATAAGGGGTTTAAAAATAAGTAAAAAACATTCTGCAAACATAACTTTTGGTGATAACGATTTAAGGTATAGTTTGTAGCTGACGATAGATTACTATTTAGTTACCATTCGTAGGTTTTTTTTAAAGGATGATAATGGAATGTTGCACCCGCCTGCGGTTTGCCTAACGGTTTACGCTGGCGGGGCACCAGTGGAGGATGATAAGATGAACAGCCTACCGTGACAAATTCGCCGGGAATGTATCACGATGGTTTCCAGGGGGAACCGCGTGGAGGTCGATCTGACATGGTACATTGCCAGCATGCAGGTTCATTAGTCCACATTACTAACAATGCCCTTCCCCCCACCATTCGTAGGTATAATGCATCGACATGTCTTTTACCTAACGTCCTTATTTGTCCGTCAATGAAATGTCACAACACATGTTAATTTTGCGCGGGAAAAGCTAGTCTGGCACAAATTGTACCGCCGATAACGGTATACGCTCCACTGAGTAATGAATACTCAGCAGTAATTGATAGCAATATTCAAGCGCTATTATTTCATTCCGCGTTCGCACACCACGCCCTTTTGTCCGTCAATTTTGATTTCGATTACAAATCGATAGCGATTTTATATTTTTTTAATATTTCGACGGCCTCAGTGGTCTATTGGTTTAACCTTACTTCCGATTGGTCGTGGGTTCGATTCCTCGCACAGCACAAACATTTGTATTCATGAATACGATTATTAGCATCAGTCTGGGTGTTTCCTATGTATAATATATATGTATTTACAAAAAAAATATATTTCTATGTATTTATGTCGGTTATACCCATAACACAAGCTTTAGCTAGCTTAACTTCTCTATCGATCTACATGGCGCTGTGTGAATTGTCCTGAAGTGATTATGATTATTATGATGATTTTCAGAAATATTTACAAATATATACAGTTGTAAAACCGCTACACCATAAATTCGTGTACTATTTATTGTTTAGTAGTAAGAAGTTTTTTTTATTAAAGTCCAACTGATCATCAAATTAAATAGAACTTCCTAGAAAATTGGTAATCCAAATACCAAAAACTGAATTGCAAATCAAAGTATATTTTTTTGTATTCGTATAAGTTACTCGAACGGTATACCGTTTATAATAAAACCTATTTCGCAATAACATCTCCAGATAATTGGACATGTTGCGAAAAGTACCTTGAGAGATGGAAGTAAGTATACGAACTCGGCTAACCCAACTCTCATAGCCGAAATGAAATTTTCAAACGTTACATGTATTTCTTAAATAACTTTTACGTAAAATAAATAATTTTTTGCGTTATTCCGATATTTCAGTTGAAAGGTCGAATGCAAACGTACCTACATAGTAATGTATCAAACCATTTGTCACCCACACAGACAAAATAACTGGTATTTATACAATGTTATGAATATTAGAAATATTAGAAAATAAAACAAACAATATTTCCTTTATTGACTCGTAATAAATACAGAACGAAAATAATAAAATAAAAATCAAACAAATTTTATACGACACAAAAAGCATGTTAATAACAGATATTTACATCAAATAAATATTATTACTAAGCTCCCGATATTTCGACGTTGTTACAAAAGTCCTCTTGGTCACAGGTCGTCTGGAGATGGCGGTCAGTGTAAACAATTATTACGAGCAAACAAATCTGACTACTCGCTTTTTTAATAATTTCTACGTACTTTGTCACTACTACTAGAACACACTTGCTAGTCACGACAAAACACACTCACTGTATCACTTAGAATTTTTAGAACATATCTAACTTTACACTTGTTTTTTTTTATACATAGCACGGGATTCGTAAATTTTATTATCATGGGAAATATCTTTGTTTACATAATGTGTAGTAGTGTAAAGTTAAAAACAGTGTTAATAAAAGTCAATATGAGGTCACAACTCAGCAAAAACCTTTGTGTGTATTGACACTATATTTATAGAGATGGCAATACTCTCTTCTGTCACTTTAGATTCCAATATACCTGTCGATCTAAATTTAAACCTAATATTGTATTAAAATATAAATAAAATATTAATTGCTAAATTAACTTTAAACAAATTTACTGTGTAGTAGAATTTCTAGGTAGAATTATATTAAACCAAACACTTACAGTGTGTACCTTGGCTTGTGTAAATATATGAGACTCTATACGGAACGGAACTCTATATTACACATTGAGCACAGAGCACAGAGGCAACTAAACATTAGAATGGAAACACTGTCTTCCTTTGAGTGTTCCAAATGTAGTTTTGGAATTTCAATTCATCTGAAAGTAGTACTAACGATAACGTATTTATTAATATATAGTATTAATTAGCGAATTAAACATTTATCTAAGAAATATTAGGGGGTAAATTATCTTCATAGTAATAATCCATATCGTCCCACTGTTGAGCAGGAATCTCACCTCGTATGAGAAGTGTACCTACTATAATAACCTTAGTGGTATAGCGGTTTAACACGGCAATTACCCTTAGGATTATCACCGATTCTTTTCCCGCGCCCTACAATTACTTTTTATTATACAAACTTATGAAATTTGATACACATTATTATAAACATTCTGTATTCTCACTGTGGAGAATGTGTGATATTCGTTTTTTAAACTTAACATCCATAGTTCATACCAACATTATAGTCTAGGCATATTCTTAACCGACATCCTGAATGCCTTTCTCAGAGAGGATGAATAATGAGAACGAATTCCTTTCAATTCGACAATTTAATTTTAAGCGCGGCGTCTAGGCTTTGCGTAATTTAATCCAGCCCGGTTAGCGGGTTTGGTGCGAGAGAAAAAAAATGGATGGCTTTTATTTGAATGCGTGCACCGGCACGTTCTGTTCCCGTTTCAATCCCGCGCACATATAAAACGTGACCATTCACATAGCCGCTCGTTGAGAAATAAACATATCCGTCACCGGGTTTTTCGCTAGTCTCGAACGTGATTCAAAAGCAAATATTTCAATCTCAACAATTCATATAGTTAGCGAGATTAGTATCATAAACCCCTAATACAGCGTTGAGTGCCCACTCATTATGTGAGTATCACAAGAGAAAATAAATGACACTTATTTGCGGTGATACGGCTATTATAATTACATTTTGTATAAATTCAAACGCATTCCACGCCATCAAATTAACTTCTATTCAAGTGATGAATAGAATTTTAATCTATTCACCAATTTCCTATACAATACTTCATAATAAAGGCTGAAACTTTCTGTCTTCTCATCATTTAAACGTTACAATTTGCGGGTGAATATTATATAGGGTTTTACATACAAGTATGCTATCTCGAAAGCAATGTGGGTCCGCCCCCGGTCCGTTTGATATGAATTGTTTCACGCTCCCACAGATTATACTGAAAGCGGATCTACCTTTTTTCAAATATCTCTAATCTCAGTCGACCTCTGCGGTGTCCGTTTCATGAATATTTTAACTCGCCTGTGACATTCTCCGTTAGGTACCTACGTACAAGTATACATATAACTCGAACTTGTTTATTAATGTCACATCGGTCGATTTCTGCCCTTGGGACATCCCGTGCTCGATACGTACAACTAAATGGGGTTTCATTTTCTAGTTCAGAAATCAAACGCTCCCCGCGGCATGCGTCCAATGTTCTTTTTCTGATGGTCCCTTTAGATATTTTTGTTCCAGATCGTTTCACGGAACGGTATACTTCCTTTGCAGACATACGTAATTGTTTCGTCGCGGAGACCCTATTTTTCTACGGGATAATGTCATTAATTTTGTTTTGCTTAATGAAAATGTACAGCGACCGCTGACGCCTCGAGCTCATTTAGCGGAAAACAATTCTATATTTTCTATGTCATGAAGTTCAAATATGTTTGTATTATATAGGGATTGAAACTTTGACCATCGGAAAGTATTGTACTTATTCGCTATATCACCAATATCTTTTGTATAATTAAAAACAGTTTCCAACAACCTACGATAAAAATATTTTTAAGAAAAATTGTTTGAATCTAGAGTTTCTGTTATTAAGTTTTTATATACGTACCATAAATTAGTTCATAAACGTGTAAAGAATCGGGGCTTAAGTCAAAATCTCTTTAATTTATTCATAGTCGAAAATTGGATCGGAATAGATCTAGTACGGTTGCCGATTATTCGGCCGGTAGTAAAAGTCCAATGAATATCCATAATTCATACCCGCAACTTTGTCCGGCTGTTCGGATTAGTTACAAGCGACGGCTAAGGGACGGGTAATTTGCATTTTGGGTAGCTGATATGAAGTTTTTTATTAGATTATTACCCTATATTCATATTTTGGCCTTTAGTATTCATTAATTTCCTCTTTAATGTGTTACAATACGAAATTGCTCTGTTTCTTTTGTTTACATACAATTTAAATATTGGCATTTATTATTTCGTTAGCTATTCACGTAATAAATAAACTTTGTATTTGTATCTAAAGATATTTTCTCAAAATAATCAAATTAAATTATGGTTTATTTCTCTATGATAATCAGTATAAGGACTATATTTTTATAAAATTAATGTCACATTTCCATTATACGAGTTTTTAATGAGTACTTGCTTTTAATCTTGTTTTTATTGAAATACTATTGTTACTGAAATTGAAGTATATACAAAATAAAGCCATATGATTTAGTAACACAGTCCATTTTTGTGTGTGTGTGCAGATCCACCGGAGATTACGATCCGCCCGCGGAACCTGCAAGTACGCGCGAACGGAATTGCCGCGTTCTACTGCGCCGGCCGCGGCGACCCCATGCCGAACATACAGTGGCGAAAGAACGGGAAACGAGTCTCAAGTAAGTAAAACATCTTAAATACTATATTAAACTGTTTTACAATTAACTAAGTTAAAAAATCGTTTGTGTCTACCGCTGAATAACTTGCTTTGTAAGCTGTGTTTCAGTTGTACGGTGTAGATTAGGCAAAGTATATAGTAGTAGTAGTAGTATATATATATTATATATATATATAGTATATATATATATAGTATATGTATATAGGCTATGATTGACTTTTCATGACTTTTCATCAGGCGAACCGTTACCGTGTTAGCCATGCTGATTATATAAAAAAAATAGAGTAAAAAAAATGTAAGGAACGCACATCCAAAACCATTATCCTGGTAAAAATACACATTTTCATTTATGAGTCCCACAGGCCTATGAGTACGACAGTGGTTGCCTTTCCCTCAAAACAATTCAGAGGATTAACGTAATAAATCTTACTCCACGTTGCATTTCTATTTTGTATATTAGAAATATAATATGGATACGTAATTGGTTTTTTTACGACTTTGTATATTGTGTTATGAATGTATTTGACTCAACATGGTATTCACTTATTATGAAATTATTACAATTATAAATTTTAAACACTTTAATTTTGCCTTAAAATAAATTATAATGTAAAAATATCATAAAAAAATATATTTACGTACGGCTCATCCTAGAGGGACTGTCAATTATCGATGTTTTAGAATACAGCTCTTAACACCACTACATTTATCTCGATATTTTTAAATCCGACGAAGCAGAAGCAGAAAGCATATCATCACTCAGATTATTTTTTGGTTTGTTATCGATGCTTCTCTCACCGGAGAGTCACTTAAAATATAATTGCATACAATTTTTTTCGGGTATTAAACAAATTTGATCTCACGACCTAATAAGAATACACAGAAGTCGTATTCTAATATATTTTGATAAAAAAGTTCGAAGCAGCAAGAATCCGCCCATTTTGTTTGTTTGTACATACTAGGGCCAATACTTTAACTTGCTTAAATTGAGTTACGATTCAATTTTACTTAAATTATACTTATATCAAAGTTATAAACTTATTTATAGAAACTAAAATCTTCTTTCTTCAAACCAGTTTTAACTCTATTGAAATGTTTTGTCATCTATTAGTAAATTAAAAAAGGCTTTAAAAAAAAAGATTAAATTAATTAAAGCAGCTTAAATAAATTTATTTGTCCATTTTTGAATAAACATATAATAATATATATATGTTTATATAAATAAATATATATAAACATTTATATACATACGTATATAAAATGTTAAACATACATATATTATTATATAAATGTTTACATATATTTATTGTTTTTCTAACGAATTGCGAAACGAATCGTTTATAACGGTCGAAACCAAGCTAGTGATGTGTCTTCAACTAAAAAGAATAGACTACATTAAATTGAAGCGAAAAAGCTGAACCTTTGAGAAACGCAAGCCATTACTTCCACTATTTTTATTCGTGATTGAAATGTAAAACCCCCGTTTTTGGCCCATAAATATCTGGGGCCGGTAATGACGTCTATAAGCCTGAGGCAATGAGCTGAAAAAACGTATCGGCCACGCACGCGAAAACCCCCCTTTAGGGGCTCAACACACTAACAGCTGCTGTGTCAACAACTTTCTCTTTTTTATACTTTTTGGTAGGTATGGCAAATGTAGTATAGGTCCACTTGATAAAAACCGTAAACTTTACTTATAGTTATAGTAAAAGTAACAGATATTATAACCTCTCTTTAATGGAGACCCATTCTTACAAATACATCCTATATTTATAATATTAATAAATATGTATTCATTAAAGAAATGTAAGAACAAACAATTTACTTCTCCTATACAAACATTGCGTTACTGTGAAACAGCGTGCTATATGATCTAGAAGAAAGAAAAAAACTATTATTATAAAATAAAAATACTAAATTTTATTACCGTACATAAATATTATTTTAAATGACTTTGTGCACTTTAGTTATATTCATATATCACTCAAAGATTCATACAAATACCGTCTTCAAATGCTTTATATATTTATTTAAATATCTCATATTATATAAAATTTCATATCAGCATACGTGTGCATAAACCTTAACATGGCAACTGGACCCCATAAATAGTTTCATCGTTTCCATGAAAAATGTAATCCCGTCCATCATTTGCGACATAGGCGACCATAAAAGAATAATAGTGGCGATCACACCTCCGAATCTCATTCCATATTCTATCTGCTATATCAAAGTTTCCCGCGATTCTTTCTTCTGTCTTCGCCTATGTCATCTATCAAGCGTCGCGCGTCGCCCGTCAGTTGACTCGAATAACTACGGGTGCCTTGGCACAGATAAAACAAAGATTTTTGGCGGGAAATTCTTTTTCATATATTTCACATGTAATGTGTTTTTTGTATTGTTTTTTTTGTTTCGTTTAAAATTATTGTAACGTTTTATTTACATTTATTAACTAATATATTAATAGATACATGGAATTCATATATCCTACAATTTAGTATCCTATTAGTGTAGTAAATCAATGATTCTTCCTTTTACTTTAATTAAAAAGTTTACGGCCCTTAGTTATTAACATTATTTATAGCATAACACCTAGTATATTTTTCATTAATACACAATATCCTGCTTTATCTTTTCTTTAACGTAATATCTGCGACAATCAACCCATAAATAATAAATGGTTATTTACGATTCAGACTATTATTCTGTATTATAATATTTTTTTGCTTCATCTATTTGGTACCAGGAAAACAGCCCTAAATATTTCCACAAAATATATCGACAACTGTACTGAATTATTGTTATTGGATTGTCATTGTTTTCCGATAGTTTGACACTTTCTGTGCGTGAGTTCCCTTCAATATTGATAGTTGTTATTCGATTTATGAGTTGTTTTATTAGCCGACTATCATTTTGCGAAGTAAATCACTAATTAATCATGTTATTAAATTATTGAAGTTATTCTGACGCTTAATGTACCTAAAATAAAAAAAAAAAATCTAATACAGAGTTAAATTATATGTATGTGTTCTATATCGTTGATAATCATATATTTGTCTTAAAACCTTAATAGCGCCATCTTTAAAACCTATTTTCATTCCGTCCTCTTTACTCATTACTTCTTTTTAATTTCATTTATTTTGAAAAAAGAACTTGGCACGCATGCGCTTTTTAGAAGTGTGCTGTGATTGGTCATCTCGACAGTTTACCCGCCTTAGAAAAAATATCCAGCTATACGCCAATGTTACAAACACACTATGATACAAAAAGAAATCGTACATTCGACACCAACTTTGAATGCGCTCCATAAATTCAAATGACGTTCCTGTATACTGAGATCTAAACGTGACTTGCTTACGTATTTCATCTAGCTGATACTGTACGGTTGTCTATATGAATAAAAATTTACTAAAGATGTACTTATACATTATTTTACTATATTAACTTATGTTATGCTACATTCCGTACGTTATGGAATGGCGCCGGTAACAGGAATACAATAGTTTCATAAGTTACTGCGAGGCTTAATTATTCTCAAAACCATTAATTGTAACAAATTAGTATAATTATGATCAGACAACTAATAAACATTTATACAGATTATATAAATGCGATATTGCCCAATATTTCGGCACTGTTTTAATTTATGTTACAAACAGGACGTCGACATATTAATTTAAAACAATTTAAAACAGTATTTTCTAAATATGTTATATATGTATATATATAGTTCATAGATATCGATTTAGTTTTTTCATTTTATTAGCCGTACATTTCTAAGTATATTTAGATAATATATTTTTAATAAGGTATTGAAGTAGCCTAACTTAGTTTCTTTAGTCCATTTTAAAATAAAAAAATCAATGACTGATTTAGTACAGTTATTTTACAATAAAATATACCCGGATTCAGTTGGTAGATTTAAAACAAAAATTAACTGTTGTCCGGATCATGCTACAATGAACAGAGTATATATTATCTACATTGTATATGTAAGCAGAATTATGCTGGTAAATTCATAAATTACAGTTACAAAAACGTAAATCCGAATCACAGTACTATTATTCGTATAAACAATTCCGGCGTAACTTTCCGACAAACTGAGCAATAAAACCGACAAGCGAGCGAAGTCACATCGTCGCGCGCTAGATTGACAATCAGGAGACAACGCGACGCCATGATGGATGACGCATGATGGCATGACGCGCGGCGCCCACTCCCCGCCGCGTTTGGTCCCCTGGTAGAACCGGGGACGAATCTCCTCACATCCGTTTTACAGGCAATCTAAAATTCACAGAAATACGTATAATGAAAATAAATTTTATACATTTCTATATTAATTTCTGTATTTTTTTTTTGAGATTATGTTATAAATGATAAGTATTTACGTTTTAATATGTACCTTGTTGAGAATGAAAGTCATTGAAAAACATGCTGAAATCTTCATATTTCTCTTTACTGCCTAATTAATATTATGTGTCTAAATTAAACTGCTTTAATTGAATTTTTAAAATTGTCCCAATATCTTTCGAGATCTTTATTGTAGGTACTTCTTTCTCACATTTTTCTGCCGACAAGAAGCTTTCTTTGTAAACTGCATTTTAGTTGAAAGATGAGATTTGGCAGTTAGTATAGGTTGCCGAGGCATGACATCTTAGACCTCCTGAATGGCAATGCATAATTGCATACTGCTGGCGATAAATGATAACATGATATCCGTAGTGCTGTTAAAATAGAAGACCACTTACAATGAGTTTCCAGTTAGGTAAAAAAATAATATATATTTATTACCGAGATATATATATAGATAAATATTACTTAGACAAAAATTTTGTTATAGAAAACCTAGACGAATATTTTAATATATAACATCTAAATGTTACACGTGTTAAGTGTATTAAGATCCCCCTTATGTGTTGAAGAAGTGCCCCTTATGTGTTGCAAGAAACCAAAATTAAATCAATTTTAGTTAGTTTCAAATTAAATACAACATAATATAACTTAACATATAATGTTTGTCAATATATTTCTGTTATGTCATACTTAGAAAATAACAAAAGGAACTGAATGCGTTTTCTAAAAATAGTGGAAGCTTTCATTGTACCATTTACAAATAAAGAAACAAATGAACCTTTAAAAGTTCAAGCAAAACAACAGACTTTGTTTTCCTCAATTTAAATCTCTGCACATGAATGAAACCCTGCTGACGTATCCATGGTAATCAAACTAAAAGATTTATTTGTATATCGAATAGCAACTTGGTATTAACATGCGAGATTTCATATTTTGAAAACATCATGACCTAATGCTTCTTATTTAGACTTCTGAGGTTACTTTTGAATCTCACTTACCATACACAACTACAAATTTAATATCATAAAAACTGTAATATATTATTTTAATCGAGTACTTCGCTAATAAGTACACCAATCACCAATCAAAATTCATCTTATAGATTACAATACGCTCGTCACCTGATTTACTATTAAAATATATTAAAAAATGGAACTATAAAGTTTTGCGTCACCACGACATCTACCATGCTTATAATAACCCCCTCTAGGATAACAGTAATTAAAAAATGAACAACAATATTGGACATGTATCTTATATGTTCATTATTTTATTTTTATATATCGTTATTATTCCAGTTTCACCCCCATTATTTATTCACCTAAGCTGAGATAAAATAATTTACGGTATATCTTAATACGTTTATTGTTTCGGTTTTACGTGTTCCGTGATAAATTAATCCCGGAACATTTACGAGCGAGATTCGCAATGTACTGTAATACCACAGAAACAAATGAGCTGGGCGAATTTCTCTCTAGCCGTGAATATCTCTGCGCGAGACTTTAATCTTTATGTGATTCTAAAAGTTCTGTAATTATAATATCTAATTTGCTTTATGTACAAGTTAGTATACGAGAATATGAAGCAATTACCGAGAATATGCAAGTGTATTAGATGATATAGTGACAAAAATTTAGATGGAAATGTTTTTAGTGGATGATAAAGTACACTCGCCTGTGCTAATCGTTCTTACTGGTAGAAAACAGAGTAGAAATTATGAGTTAAGGATGTAGTCAGGTTAGTTATTTATTTGATAGAATTCACCAGTAATTAACCTGGATCGTTTCCTGAGGTACTAGGTACCAACGCTATCAATTACCTCCCCCGGGATGAAAATGTTCTAACTAAGTTACAGACGTTTAAGACAGATATTTTTTTGATTTAACATAAATGGTAACGGTCCTCCTCGTAGAAGTGGTAACCGTCGATTATAAATATGAGCATCACCATGGACATCACGACTTTGTAGTTTCGTACCCTGTACTTTCTCTGTCATATCATTCAAATCTAATCGCAGTTTACAATATAAGCTAGTTGGCGGCAGTATTAGGAAAGTGTAAATTACCCTTGAAAACAACATCATCATCAGTTTCTTCCTTATCCCATTTATTTCGGGTCGGAGTAATATGTTTTGCTCTTCCATTCAGCTCAGTTCAGAGTTGCAATCGACCTTTCCAATCGACTGTAAAAAGTTTACCACACAATTTTATAGGTATAGGTTTGGTGGCTTTACTCTCTATTCCTTCTTATGTTCACGAGGTAGATCTGCATTATCTTTTTAAACCGAAAATGCAAGGCAACGATTATTCTCACTTGTTGTGAGATACATTTCCTTTCCACTTATTTCGAGTGGCGATTTAACTCTGTCGTCCCATATTCTCCTTTTTCTCAGTTATGTAGTTGTTATATTCAATTTAAACTTTATTCCCCATACACAAGCGACACTTTGACCGCACATGGCAGCAGCGTTGTAACCCGACAGCAATCTTGAGCGAGAAAAATGCAAAATGCAGAGATGCTTAACGAAAGAACTAGCGCACTAATATTGTAGTTTTATCTTTTTACAACAAAAAAATAATAACTGTTTTACGTTGCAAACAATTAAGATAGGAGGAGCTTTAGTTTTTATGATCTTTTTATGAATTAAGGCGCTGTAGACATTTTATTTAATTTAAAAATTTTAGATGTATCAAAGTCAGAGAGTTTAAATACTTCAATAGCCAAATCACTAAATTCTACTTCTTTACAATGTGCAAACATGATAGCTAGTAATTTGTGATATTTATATTTAAAAACATCCTGGTCATGGGTCACATGAAAGCTCATGGGAGCTCATGAATAGTATTAAGGGTATATTTACTATAGTAAAAATTCATATGTATTAAAGTTAGTAAGTTAGTAAAGATTCCGTTTCTGTAATGTGTTAAACACACAACGTAAACAACCTTAGAGTGTTTTAAATGATATTGAAAGCTTACAAGTGTCTTTTGATTACGCTGTTTATTAATTAATATTTTCAATCATCGAACATTTAGTACTACACGTAAATTGACACAAAGTGTTTAAAATACCCGGTAGATTCGGCCTCACTACTTTTGAAGCATCAACTGGGCAATAGCGGTGTAATAAATGTGTATTTTAATTAATATTAGGTGACCCGCTTCCCGGACCCGGAACTTCGCTTGCGTCATATTTTTCGCATTTTTACAATTTTCATTGCAGCTCCACTCCTATTGGGTTGAGGTTATTTAGCATATTTAGCATATAGTTTTCCTAGACAAATGGTACACTAAAATAATTTTCAGATAAATAGTACCAGAGATTACCAGAGATTAACTTACAAACAAAACAAACATTACCTCTTTATAATAGTAGTATGAATTTTCGAAATTCTACTATTTGAAACCATACAACCAATATCCAGAAGCAAAGATTCCGTATATTTAGAATAATTTAATTATTATTGACTCCAGATTCTAAAGCGTTCTATTCAAGAATGTCGAGACAAGCAGATCACATTGATTCGCTAGATTTCTCCAATATTTGCATTGTTTCTACACCAAAATTTGCTGGCTCAAATCTAATATCTGTATGTCCTTATCATCATATATATTATATTACGGAAATGTGCGTCATCATAATGTAATGTCTGATGTAGTGATGTGCAAAAGGTTGCTATTTGCACTAAAAATTGGTAACTCATCAACGTGTTTTATACTTTCTATTTAATGGTATAACAAGACAATTGTTTAAAATCTAATCGGTTAAAAAACCCAACACCATAGAAAAATTCTAAATTTATTACTCTACCGATTTATAGCCAAAAATTGAGACTCTAATCAAGTCTACTGTCTATTTTCTTATAATTTTAAGTAGATATGCTTCCAATTCAATGCTATTTTTGTAGTAAAAATTTGTAATACATTTATGCTATGGCGGGACTAGTATAAATATAATCAAGATATATTGAGTATTAAACGGCCAGTATGAAATTCATCAATTTGTAGATGCAATAAAAAAGCGATTTTCTGTAATAATACCCATTATAGTTATGAAAAGAATTTATCTGAACTATATTTACTATAATAATACAATTACGATTACAGCGTAGAAAACGAGTTTTATTTAAAATAGTTTCGTTCAATGACCCAGACAAAGTCACTTTCAAGTTGAACCTTTTTGCTTCAACATTACATTTAGAAAGAAATTAAGCAAGAACAGTTTCATATTTCTAGCTGATTTCTAGTTCCTAACCAGTCTTCACTCTATTTTTCATTTTACTGAGGTAGGCACAGAATCATCTGCATACATGCCTGCGGTAGTATTATGTATTTTAATTTCATATATAAAAATATTTATATTATTAGTTGTACTAGTACCCATAATACAAGCTCTGTTTAACATGAGATGGTTTAAATCACGGAGTGTCAATTGTCCTAGTTTATCATTATATTAATACGTGAAGCAAAAACTTGTAACCCATTTTTACAAAAATTACGCGAATAGTATGAAATTTCGCACACTTATAATTTACTAGCTGTGCCCGCGGTTTCACCCGCATGAAATTTATAGCCTATACATCAGAATAACATATAGGCATATGTTATTCTGATGTATAAGCTATATTACTGTAAAGTTTCATCAAAAACCATTCACTTCATACCGTTCCATCCATACTCACAAACTTTCGGCTTTATAATATTTAAAGATTAAGATATGGAGAAGAGATGCAAAGTAGAACTATTTATTTTCAGTTTATACATAAAAATTAATAAAATAAACATTGACTATCATAATTGACACGACTTTTGGGCGGTGCGGCTAAGGCAATTTGTTCACTGGTGAGGTAATGGAGTGATTGGTTTTAGGGTACAATGGGACTGACATGTACTTAGATGGTACAAAAGTCCCTAAATTTAAAAAGAAATTAAAAAAAAAACATAATTGACACACATATACTCTTTTGCTTAATAGTTATTGCTACTTCAAATATCTTTTTGTATATAATGTGCTAGAATGTCGACCACTAAGTGATTACTAGTTATTTTATAATAATAAATTATTGTTACAGACATGCAATCTCGGTACCAAGTGTCCGCTATGGACGATACGGCTGGTCCTGGCGCGAAAGGCGCTGTTCTCCGTATCGAACCCGTGAGAGCGATCCGCGACGACGCCACTTACGAATGTGTCGCGGAGAATGGCGTGGGGGATGCTGTTAGTGCGGTTGCCACCCTGACTGTCTTCGAAGGTAAGTGGATTTTAACCATTTCCTAATTAAAGTAGAGTTGCCACGAATAATGATTTCCCCGAATACCGAATACCGAATAATCGGCACAAAAGACATGCTTCTCGTGCGCGTAAACAAGAACCAACGGATCGCAACCTGTCTCCCTCGTTGCGGGAAGTTTTCTAGGATTGGTTCAAATACTGAAAAACTTGTTTTCATCCATCATAATTTACCACTGGTCAATTTTACTTACTAGGATATTGTAATTTGTTAATAAATACATAGAATCTAGAGTAATATGACGTGTCTTTTTTTCATGATTTGGTATTCGGTGTGCGGCCGAATACCGAATAGTAGCCGATTATTCGTGACATCTTTAATATATAGACACAATGTACAAAGTCATCAGAGTATGCGTCTGTCTTACCTATTCAGCCGCCAAGCATCGTACTATGTAAGTCGTGTTACATTAAAAGAGTGCGATAGTACAGGGGCATAACACCTTGATACTTCGGAATAATATTGATGTCCTCGGTGCTAGTGGTCTTACACACTGTCTTCATTCTGATGGCCGTGTCTTCGATTTCTCGCTGGGTTTTGGTGATTTCTATCAACTCTTTGGAGGACCTTAAACTATTTTTATTAGAATATAATTTCGAATATAACAATTCTAATATTAATATCCCAAGGAAACTTTCAAATTAAGAAAGATAGGATTATTTTTATTCCAACCCATAGTGCATTCCTACATATATATGTACATTAGTTTAAAGTATAACATTACGTTGCAATACAAGTTATATTACTAGTAAACAACACAATTACTTTCCCATATTCCATAACAACGTACAATATGAAGTAATAATTGCTAGCCATCGCAATAAAACAGTAAACCTTACGGTACCATTCTCGCTCTTGCATTCAAAGCATAGCGGGCTCAGTGTAACAAGCGGAAACCGCATAAAACATGGCCGCGGCCGACAATGTGATCCTGTAGAAAATAACTTCAGTAGTCGCGAAGACAGCGTCCTTTCAATAAATAAGAATTAAACCCAACGGCGAGCGGACGCCGTGGTGTGTCCAACTTGAGAGAAATTACAGGACGAAAACATATTTTGTGCTGTTCGCTTCTCACGTAGTATTTTTTTTTATTCCCGTCATATCGTTTATTTCGTTACGTGACGGCTTTTATGTATACAGCCTCGTTTTTTTTCTATTTTTGTGTTCGTCAGAGTATATATATGCGATGTTTTCTTACACAAGTTGTCTTAAGTCAACAAGGGACCAATGTGCAGACCTTGTGAAAAACGCTACGATTTACCGTGCTTGTAACGATTAGTGAAGGCGAGATTATATGAGGAAAAGTTAAAAAACAAGATATTAGAAGTTATCTTCAAGTGCATACCAAGAATAACCCTTGAGATACATCTTTCTCTAAATTTTTCCTCGAACCATTCAATGAAATAAAATATAACAGCAGTTTGACCAGCATTTTGAATTGATTCCAGCAGCAGTTGCTGTAAATTTAATAAGGAAAGAGATCAGTCGTATTGAAGATTCTCGTGAGCTGGGCACACACATACATTAATGATATTTTTGCACAATTTGGAATATCCTAAAGGAAACAGTAAGAAATGGCAACACTATTATCCGATAACGACAGACTCTAAATTGTGAGTTACAATATTTCTCCAACAAAATTCCATGACAATTTCTGTTGTAAATGAGTGGAATTATTGTCGTGATAGCTTAAGTTCTCGATTCGCGTCGTGTCGCGTCGCGGCCGGTAATTGAGGACTAAATAGCGATAATTATGTCATATTTCAACCCGTTCCCGAGACATGTTTAACTCCTTTGCATATATTTGCCAGAATTACAGGCTTGTTTTGTGTTTCAAGTGGCTTTTGTTACGCGTAATTTAATTGGTTCATTTTATTCCGTTGTTTTGTTCCATAAATATATTAAATTTGCTATGCTATGTCTGTCGTTGTCCCACTTTTAGACTTTGATTTCGAGTAAATAAGAATATAATGAAGGGATTACATTTCAAGATCCAGTTGCCATGGATATCTCGGGTCCTCATTTCTTATTTGAATGCTGATATTGCTTCGAACCGTATCGGTGTATGCCTAACAAGAAAAGAAATATCGAAATAAATTAGCGTGAAAAGCAAAATATCGTTATAATAAAGTTACCGTTAGTTTACTTATACAGACATATAACGATTTATTTACGTATAAAGCTATTGTAGTCTAGACATTTCTTAGAACTTTCTAGAAAGTTACTGTGAGAAACCAAACAATGCCGGCCCGGGCTGCTTGCCAACAGATTTTTATTATATACACGTCCATATTATAAAGTAATAATTTTCAAATATTTATCACGTTGCTACAATTTATTAAGGGGAAATTTTGTTACGGCGCTAATTAAACAGAGTAGGGTTTCCGGTTTTTAATACCGAGTGGTGTTTGTTAAAATTTAGAAATTCAGCTTGTTATAACTAGTTGAATAATTAACAATTGATATATGTATATCAGTATTTTTTATACCTTTCGTAGGTATATATATATTTTATATTATACATATATAATACTAAATAACTCTTGTCATTTTTGTTATAATCTAACCCTAGAATTTTATACATTATAATCAGCGTTCACACTATGACGTTATAAAGGATCGGTATAAGAAAGAAAGACCTGAAATATGACCCGTAATCGAAACTGTCACTGCTTATTTGGTTATCAGGTAAAACAATTATTAATATAACATGAAGTTAAATGAAGAGGAAAACATAGAGAATGTTGACAAAATATATGAAAGATAAGTTTGAATGTGTAATATGTCAAATTAGTAAGGAATATTTTTATGAAAAACAATCAATATGCCAAATCATGGTAAAAAACATAGTTAAAATATACACTTTTTGTTTAAAAAAAAATTAAATATATATAATTTATTCTTTTGTATTCAACTGATTGGCCAACAAATCGGGTCCAAATTTGTATTATCACAATATATTTATATCAACTATAATCCATTACCTATTACTATAACCATCATACTCGTTTATTTTACTGAAAAGAATGCGTTTTCTTTCAGGTCACCTTTTTTAATGAAGGCAATAAGTAAAAAATCTTTAATTTCGTACATCATGATATATGATATTTCAAATATTCCTTCTTGATTATATAATATATGGGCGCTAACAAGTAACAAAGAAACTCAATTTCTCAAAGAACAGAATAGAACGTATGTTATTTTTTCTTTTTATTCTATTCTGAATGCATATTCAGCGAAGAATAAGCAAGCCTGTTCCTCTTTTTTAACAAATGTTGTGGAATTATACATTTTAATTTTATAATTGTATAAACAACGAAGTACCAAATAGAACGAATTAATTAAAGTCAAAATTAAATAAAATATTATTGCAATTTATTAACGAACAATAAGCCTCTAAATTTCGTTCAATAACCATCAAGATATGTTAATCCCACGAAACGCTTAGATCAATTGCACCATATCCTGACAGAGAACAAACGGAATTGCAAATTTACATAATAGTAAGGATAGATAGACAGTAATTACTCCCTTACATCAGATATCGGGCCAAACACAGTACAACACAATTAATAATGTGGTAATTTGTAACAGATTTGGCCCGGCTTATACATCAGATACAAACTCGGCTATTAACATATCTTCGTTAGATAACAGTGATGAAACGGATCATAAAATACAATCAGACATTTCAATTTATTCCAAGTAGTTGTTATTTATTGAAGAACATGATGTAATATTTTTTCTATGATGAGAATTGGTAACTGTCGCCTCTAACCCTTTACACTTCATTGTCGCCGTATTTGCGACATTAAAATGCTAACATTAAATCCACGGTCACGGCTAAAATTTATGTTTATTTTTTTATAATAGTTTGAATATATTTCTATATAAAATAGGTAAGAAGTTAATGTTTTGTTTTATTGCAACCGCTCTATTTTTCTTTAACATCTCATGTATGTAATGTATGAAAATAGAATCTTAAAGTGTTCCCATACTGGGTAAGTTGTGCATATAATATTTGTTGCTAATTTATTTTGGACTTAAGACTTGTTGTAAATTTGATGTGTCATAGTAGTTAAGTAAGTTAAAATTTTAACTGATAGTGTCACTATACTAGTGTCATTGTGTGGCTTGCCCTATATAATATTATTATAATATTGTTTTCTTGCATAATGAATAATAGTTGATTATAATGCGCAGTGCTTTTGTTAACCGCCTAGTAACCGTTCTGATTTAAAATTATAACTGCCGCCTTGATTTTCTTCCTCCTTCTGCTGGCTAATTAAGTAGCTATAGAATACCCATAATCCGTAGGTCTGACTATATCTTGCTATTATAAGATCATAATGCAATGATTCGGTATATTACAGGAACACCGTAGATATTGATATAATATAACCACCTATCCGACGACTGGAAACTATATACATATATATACTCGTGAGACTGCATACCGACTTAGCCGCTTTGCTGGAGAGGATTGCTGGAAAACCGAGGAGACCGAGGATAGTGGTGTTTATTCTTGGACTGAGCGGACTATATGTTTTGTGACCCAAGGCTTACCCAACCCTGACTTTAAACAACCATTTTTTTTATTTTTTTTTTACTATGAATACATTTTTTATAAACTTAATTTGCCGTATTTGTTTTTTTAACAATAACAAACGCGACAACTTGTAACTAATATAGTACTGGAGTTATTGTTGTCTTCTATGAGTTACTAGGCTGGAGTGCAAACAGCTAACGGAGGGTACCACGGCTATCATACTCATTGTGACTCCCATACCTTATACGATGACTAATTTCACCCAGTCCATCTAATGGCAAGATATATTTTATGGCTGGAATGACAAATAATCTGACATGTCTACCGATAGAAAGTAATTATCAAGTCTAACAGTAGCATAAAAAAGGTATTCTGATGATGAAAGGTGGTGATGTATACTATTGCAATTCCT